CAAATTTTCGCTGTCGATGGGATTTGAACATCCAACCTACCACTTGAGGGGTTGACAACCTGACCACTTCACTAGGTCACCACACCCCTTTTATAAGCATATTTATTTAGAAACTAATTATATATAAACATATTAAAAAAACTTTTTTATAAATACATCTTAGTAAAAATATTTTTATAAGTATATAAATCTTTATCTTGAAGAATATAATTGTAAAGAGGTTTGACTATATTAATATCTATTTCCTAGATTTAGTTTTGATAATAATATTATTAAAGATCTGTATTATTTTTTTTACTTAATTTTATAGATTTATATAACTACAAGAACTTATTATAAATTTGAACTACTTAATACTAAAGAATATACAGATACTCTATAACTTGTCAGTTATATTAATATAATTATAATTATAAATATCTTATTTTAACTAATCAATAATGGAGGTATGGTGACTTAATAAAGTGAATAAGTTGTCAATCCTTCAAGTAATAGATTGGGAGTTCAAAACCTACTGACAGTGAAAATTTGGAAAACCACCTATATATATCAGTACTACAGGCATCTGTGTAATGTTTAAGTTACTTAAAGGAATGCAAACCAGCATTAAGTAGTGCAAATCCAAGATAAGTTCTTGTGTTTAGTACTATGGCAACAGCAATCTGTCGATCAGTTGGGATCAGTACCTATAACACAGTCACACCAGATAACTGGCAGGTCATTGGATATCTGTGCAATATTGGAGTTACACGGAAGAATGCAAACCAGCATTAGACAGTGCAAACACAAGATAAGTTCTTGTGGTTTGGTAAATCCATGAACTGGGAAAACTGGAGCCCACTTGGAAAGACCTAAGTAAAGAGATAATACAGATCTTCAACAGTACTACTATAAAGGCTAGACCTAGGAAACAGATATTAATATAGAAGAAATCAGGCAGGCAAGAATCTCAGATAAGGGGTATCACCAACCAGGTCGCTGGAAGTTTTAAACCAGAGGAAAAGGATCTTGGAAGGCAGACTCTGGGATACCAGAGACAGGTTACAGTCCTACTAGGCTATCTGAATTGAAAGTCTGGTTTCAGAAGCAGGGTATACTATAAGTACTAAGGATATGCTATGAAGTCAGTACTGGGGTTTGGGTGAACTTTACAAAGATGAGTCCTGTTAGCAAAGATTAAATGTAAGTAGTTAGTTAGCAGGGGGCCCCCTAAAGCTCTATAGTCTGATGACATACTCTGAAATATGTAATAGCCTAACAGACATACAGATAAGAAGATCACAGTTAGGTTAGATGGCATCTAATTAGGTGTACAGAAGCTTGTGCTGCTATCTGCTAGTGTAGTATAGAGGTAACCTTATCTAAGTTATGTAATCATAATTGAATTCACAATAAAGACAGTAGCTATCATAACTAATGGCCTTAGCAAAAGCAAAAAAAAAAAAAAAAAAACTAATCAATAATATATTATTATTATAATACAGATATATTTTTTATATTTTTATTTTTAGTAGATTTTAAACTTATAATTTAGTATTTAAAAAATTGACAACTTATTTATTTTATTAAGTTATTACATTTTTTATTATTTGATTCTTAAATAATATCTAATATATATAACTATATATAATCTATTTTTATATTTTTATATATAGTACCTAATATTGTACTTATAAGTATTATTTAATTTAAAAACATTATATTTTTAAATAAAACCTAAATATTATATATAATACAAAGTAATAATAATCTTTATTTAAATAAATAATATATATTTTTATAATTATATATTATATCTTAATATTATCATTTAAAATTTTAATTTATATTAAATATAAATTAAATGTTATAGCTAATACTAAATTTTTTTTTTTTAAAACTTAAGCAGTTATGCTAGTACTTTATTAAGATTCTTACAATTACTACAATTACATAGTTCTACTTAACAAACAAGTCTAACATTACCCAGCTACCCTAATGGCACCTAAGTGCAACCTACCACATTACTTCAAACAGAAATAAATCACTTGTCAGACTACTTAAAGTCCATAATGAGAGGATCTTTCTCTTTTTATGACAAGCTTCAACATTGTCTTCCTAGCTTCATCTTCAATTCATTTTTTTTTCTCTTTTAATTATCAAGCAAGAGGATTCTAAAATCCTTGCCTAAAGAACAATAGAATATATAAAAGAAAATCTAAAAAGGAGTAAAAAAGAGGAGACTAACTACAAAACCTAAATGTAAATCAAAAGAAAAAAAAAAAAAGATAAAAAAAAAAAAACAAAGAAAAAACAAAAAACATAAAAGCACTGTTATTGCCCATGCTTGGCTTTAAAAATTCTATATAATACTAAATAAAGAATATCCCATATTTACTTTATCATCATATTATAATATATTCTATTTGTTATATAAGAAGAATGATTGAAGTTTTTATATTCTTCTTGAGTTTGATATGTGTCATCCATCATAGGTCTGATACTTGTAGCATAATTTTCTTGTGACTAATATTACCGATTTGGAAAGGTAAACAGTTTTCGATCCTTTAGAGAGGGTACACCAGATTTCCTATTTTTTGGTAAAAATTTTAAAAGAAAAATTCAGTAGTGAGGATGGAAAGAAAAACCAACTTGAGAAGGAGTTGTAAGAGTTATGCTATATAGAATATTATATTGAACCAAGTAACTATTTAGGCCTAAGTTCTTATAACATTTGACAAAGCTCCAGAGCTTATCTACTACTTCTTTGTTTGGTAATACTTGTGTTTACTATAAGACTTCAATTACAATGATTCGAATCTTTTTTAGTTTTTTTTAGTTACAATTGAGCATGCAGTGAATAGCCTTCCTAGTTACTCCAAAGTAGAGTTTTGTTATATTTAAATATAATAACTATATAGTTTTCATAGGTCAGACTTTTGGAAAAAATTAGTATAAGGAATTGTCAGAAAGAATTTTTTTGGCTATTACTAAATTTAATTGATGCTAATATTTATATAATATATAATAAAAAAATATTGTTATTATATACAAAGTATATTTATATTAGAATTAGTGTTTAAATTAGCATTAAAGATTATATTAAGGTTAGAGGTCTGTAAACTATATAATAAAATTATAAACCAAAATTGGAATCTTAAGATTTTTATATAAAATATAATATTACATATATATAAAAAAATATTAAAACTAGTATTGTAGAAGATTATAATGAAAACTTATAATAAGACCATTAAATATAAAAAACTAAACTAAAAAGACAGAAGTTTACTTAAAAATTCTGAATAAAAAAACAATACAAATTTTTGACAATACTGTTAAACTGATAGAAATTTATAAACTATTCCAAAGAAACAGATTGAATAAACTCAATCAGATCATCAAATTTGACAGAGAAAAAGAATATAAAAGTATATTATACCAAAGAATCTGAATTGGTAGTTTTGTTAAAGTCTGTTAATTCTGAATAATAATTAGTAATAAATAATAAAAAAAAGATTGAAAAGATAAATATTAGGTTTAGATAAACTTTACAAGGGTATAATAATTTAATAATTAATTTTAACTGCAAATATTAGTCTAGACCAAAACAATACCAAATCAACTATAAATATAAGATACAGAAGACTCTGATGGATTTAATATAAAGTTAAATATAACTTAGTAATCATGATATACCTTTATCAGTATAATTAAGATCATTAGTAAAGTAAATAAGTAATAAATACAGGAACTAGAATGTTTAAATAAAAAATCCACAAATGAGTTCTACATATAACAATTAATATAGAATTTTCAAATAGACTACTTAAATTAAACAATAACTAAAATTGTACAAGTGACTAGTTGTACACTCTTTCTATGATTGCCTCCATAGTTGTATAAACAATTATTAACTGAAACATACTATCAATAAAATCCTGAATCACAAGTACTCAAAAAAAATAATAATAATAAAATCACAAAAGAAAACTTTTTGCTAATGCATAAAACTAAGTAAAAGTGTCAGAAATACGATTTTACTATATATATATTAACCCTCTAGCTTATTTCTAACTCTAACCCATAATATTAATTAAAAATCAGAAAACCGGAAGGTGCCAGGCTTTAAACGTCCCCCATACATTGATGAATTTATAGCAGATCAGTATAGTATAGCAGTAAATCGGCCAATCAGTTTGCAAAAAAAAAAGTTGTGGGATTCACGGGAATTCAAAGAATATGCTATAAGGCGAAGCGAAGCCGTTAAATTTACTCTCGTTTCATTGCAAGTTAGGCTACTCGAGCTTTAAAAGAAATAGTGTAAACAGTATAAAAAAAATTATTTAACTATATCGGAGTAATCTACGAAATTGATGTTACACAACTGATCCTTCACCCGGAGTAGTGTGTTTGAATTAAGAAAATGATTAAAATCACGTTGATCTTACGAATACAATAAAAAATTTTTTTAAAGTGAGCAGATTTATGCACCGCAGAATTCTGGACACTCAAACCCAGAGTGCAACGCATAAAAAAATTATTTTGCAATATCAGATCATTCCGTTAGTAATGTTATGATTATAATCCAACACCATTTTATCATAATAATCATAACATGTACTAGAGGAATGATCTGGTATTGTAAAATAATTTTTTTATCTGCGAAAACACTCATATCGATATAGTTTATTTAAACTACGTCCGATCTTACTAAGTAACGAGGTGAAATCCGCTTTTATATACTGTAATAACAAAAAAAACGACCCTAACCCGATCTACAAAGCGGATTTCACTATTTCGCAACTCATGTACTATTACCCGGGTGTAGGTTAAAAAATTTGGCCCGAATTAAGCTTAATTCGTGCCAACATTTTAACCTACACCCCGGGGCGTTATTTCGAGGTAATACGGTATATGTATAGCTATTTATAGTTCAACATACGTACATAGGGAACATCTCATAAATTCCATTAAAGTTCGGATTTTATAATTTATTAAATGAAAAGTTCTTAATTCAAATGGACGAATTTGTAACATGGATGCGACAAGATGAACGTGAATTTTTTGATGAGGTTATGAAGATTTATTGTGTTATTCCTTTATGTTTTTTGGGTGGGCAATTAGTTGTCACTGCTCCTTACGGTAAGCTACGGTATTGTTAATATTGAGTACAATAATTCATGTTTTAACTTTGTAAGCTCTAATCTTATTACAGGAAAATTCCAATGGAATAGATCAAGGCTTTCAGGAAAATTCGGGTGGCTGTTGATGGAATGCTTCGCACTCATAACATTCATTTACAGTTTTTTTGTAAATAATTTGTTTTCTACCATTTACACTGACTCAGCTTACACCACAACTCAACTAATTCTCTGCTCACTATGGATAATCCATTATACAAACAGAACAATTATATACACATATCGAGCTCCAAATATTTCACCTATGCATATATTAATTATGCCTTTTGGTATATTTTATAACATTATGAATGGATATACTGTTGCACGTTGGATTTCAATTTTTGGTAGAGATAATTATCTTTACGATGAAGATGGTCGAGACATTTATAAATCACCAAGATTTATTCTAGGTGTTTTTATCTTTTTAGTGGGAATGACGATTAATATTCATCATGATAATATTTTATTTTCATTGCGGAGCAATCTTGATAAATCCACTAAATCAGAATCGATTAAAGTAGTCACCAATACAAGTTCTCCCTCAAGTAAATATCTAATTCCAAACGGTGGTTTATTTAATTATATAGCATGTCCAAATTATTTTGGCGAAATAGTTGAATGGGCAGGTTTCGTAATTGCAACTTGGTATAGTTTTCCTGCAGTAATGTTCTTGATGACTACTCTTGCGAATTTTATACCGCGAGCGAGAAGTAATTTAAAATGGTACAGAGTGAAATTTGGAGATGCGTACCCAAAAAATAGAAAGGCTATTATTCCTTTTGTTTTGTGATGTAAATTCATTTGTTGTGATATATCATACAATATTATTACCTTTTGTATTTGATATGTAGCATATATTATTTCCCACCCTCTTGCCAAAGGGTTTATTATAGTTTAACACTATAAGATTCAACTTTTACTTTTTTGTAATCTACCATTTTTTTTAAAATATACAAACTTTTATAATACATATTTATTACCGTTACTTGGTAAAAATTTCTACACATGGCCTTTTGATCAAATTTTAGAATGGTTTGGTAGCATAATGAATATCGCACACCAAGATAATGTTTTGTTTCCCCTTTTTTGATATCACCAGGTCTTTGATTCATTAATATAATTTATCTCAAAATTGTAAATTATTGATGATGCATTGAAGAGATGATTGAATCTTGGTAAAATGATATTTGATGCTTGATATATTTGTTAAATCAATTTGCATTTGAATTGATGAAAATGATTAAAGTCAATGTACAAGAAATATAAAAAGAAAATTTATAAAATAAAAAACTTTAGAAACGACATATCTATTGATCTTTAAACCAACAAAATAATTGGGCTTATCAAAAACCAATTTATTAAAGTCAACTATATCTTTAATAGTAATATAAACCAAGTTTACCATAACTCTTTTAAAACAAAGAAAATGGCATGTAAAATATTCTCTCGTCTTTTTTCACTTCTTTTAATTCTTCTAATCACCATAACAATACTTGATGCTGCCGATCCAACTACTACCCAATCTGTCAAAAATCAGTCCTCAAAAAATGTCGTACCACCAACACGGTCTTCTACCTCACAAATTCGCTCGACATCGTCAACAGTCTTTCAATCCTTACCGCCATCACCAACACCAACACAACAATATAACCATGATTTCAATTCATTGCCTGGAAATCCAGATCCGGAACAAATTAAAATTATCACAGCCACAACTATTAAACATTATGGAACGAATAAGTCGGCTAAGCCTACGGGAATCGCGATTACACATGCCGAAAATGGGGCGGCAAATAAAAGGACAAATTTTGGTGTTGTTCTTGGGATGGCCTTTGTGGGAATTATTGTGCTATTATTCTAAATTGTTGGCTTTTTCTTATAATTCATATAGGTATAGTATTTTAAACAAAGGAAGTTTTATAAGGTTGTTTACACGTTTCAACGTTTCACGAAACTCTTGAAAAAAGAAATTTATTAAATATACAAAAATTTTATAACCTTCGTGATGACCTTTCCTAAAGCTCCAGGTGACAATAGTATACACCAGGATAAGTTTATCGCGACATTGTTTTTGTTACACGAGTAATATAAAATATAAAGACCGAGGTATCGATATGCTGTAAATTTTTATATAAATTAATGGCAAATTAGCAAAGTTTGTTATTATAATATAGTTTATATTCAAATTAGTACATCACACATAATAAATACTTTTAATTTAAACAAAATTCAGAGCATAACACATAATATTCGTCGAGTATTTAATATATATATGTGTATCAATATGTGAATTCTTTAGTGTCCGTTTTTGAAGTAACGAGAAGTTTGACTTTAAAGCCATTAATCATTTAGGTCTAGCTAAAGGAAAAATTAAAAGTCAAAAATTTACTAAATAAATTGATAATTTAAGTATATTATAAAATCATAAATCAAATGAGGTTTTACAGTTTTAATTTATTTCTGTATTTTATATGTTTGTATAAGATGATATAATTTTTTTACAGGCACATAAAACTAGCTTATAGAAAAATTTTTTTACCAAACAATTTATATTTATATTTTAAGTAAACTGTTTAACACAAAACATTTACATATAGTAGTTATAGAATATGTTTTATAGTTGTTGTTATTTATTGGTCAAATAAGTTGACATACCAAATTTTATATATAAATTTGTATAAAAAATTACTAAAACTTAACTTATTTAAAAAATATATAATGATACTTTTCGAATACCTCTTTTTTTTTTTTTTTTTTTTTTTTTTTGGTATTAAGGTGAGGCCTTGCTTATATCTTTATTAATAATTTAAAATAGT